CTACACGTGACACCTGTGGTTCATCGTTTATGATGTTTACTTGGTAATTTAATAAAATATAATAGAGAAATAATGTACAGCTGTTTGTAGAGATATATTAAGTGTAGAAGGCAGTGTGCAAATATCATTCTCTATTAGTCTAATTAGTCTATGTATAGTATAACGTTAGGTTGAAGCATGCAATACTAGATGTAAGGGAAAAATAATAAGGGAAAACTTGACAACCAAGGGAATTAAAACGGGAAACAAAATGTAAAGAATAATGTAAGGCACTGAGGTCTATTTCTAGGCCGAAAGGCTGAAATAGAGATTCATTCATTCGTGTATACAGCTCTTTGTTCTTTCACCATGATCACTTAACTCATCAACTATTGGATTCATCAAAACAAATGGAAAGCAAGTGCAATTTTAGTTAAGACATTATCTGACAAGATTTATTCACTGAAAGGTTTAAAATAGCTAAGAAGGCACAATATAATTTCCTTCGTCAAACAGCAGGTATGCACGTAATGTACACGAACATAGTCGATTCACTTAGAATCTGGCAATTTGCTTCGACGACGAAAGGTAATTGTAATTTAAAAAATGTACAAAAGACGAAATACCACGTCTATTTGTTGTTAATTGCTTTCACTACGTGAAACATTATTTAAGTAATCCTCCTATTAAATAAATAAATATATATATTTATATATATAAATTGAAAAAAAAAAGTAATTCCATCCTCTACAGTATTGATCCTGCAACTCCGGTTCAAATATCAATTGAATCGTTTCATCACTTACCTATAAATACTTCGTTCTCTCTTAACACGTGATTATCCAAGGCTTTCGCGTTACAGTGAATAACAGTCGATAAAGTATATGGCTGGGAGGAGGGGAGGGAGGGAAATGCACAAGCTACAGAACTTAGTCCGAACAACTGCTGGACTAACTGCTATCTCGCTCCATTTCCTTTTCTTTCATTCCGCATTTACCGTTACCCTATTGTTTACCTTAAAGACAAAAGGCGGAAAGCTGTTTAAAACGCGTCTGCAACTAGACAAAACAGGCAGTAGATTCTAAAAAAAAAAAAAAAAAAAAAAAA